ACATACAGTGTTAATTATTCATTCAAACACATTCATCCCGGTGGTGGGAGCTACGATTGTAGCCACAGCTGCCCTGGGGCAGACTGACAGAGGCGTGGCTGCCATTCTGCCCCTCCGACCACCACCTCATACAATCCATTCATTCGTATTCACACCAGGCAAGGTGGTGAAGTGTCTTCCCCAAGGACACAAGGACCATGACGCAGGTTAGAGGGCGGAATCGAACCGCCGACCGATCAATGACCGACTCGCTCGACCACCTGATCCACAGTCGCCCACCATATAGACTCAGAGTAAATAGTCCTAAACAGCTGGAAGCAACAAACTAAACTTTACCTCCTGTTAACACCTTGAGATTGTGTGTCGCCTCCATTAGCTAAAACTGTGTCGTCTGTGATGATTTGCTTTCACTTTGACTCAGTGCTGGAGTTTTTAGTTCTAGTGGATGAACTTGTAGGTGTTTGATGTTAAACTAAAATTCAACTGGCTCTTTTCTTTTCTTTTTGAAGTTATTTTTTTTGGCCTTTCTTGCCTTTATTTGATAGGACAGTGGAGAAGGGGGACAGGAAAACTGGGGAGAAGAATGGAGGAAGGACCTGCAGCAAAGTGTCACAAGCCGAATTCCAACTCACTACCACTGCTTCAGCCCCTGTATGTGGGATGCCAGCTCAACCAAGTGAGCTATCCCGGGGCCCAGGCTCTTGTCTTTCCTTGCGTCAGTATCTGGCTCTTGTCAGTGATTTCTGCCTCCGCTGTGACCTCATGGCAAACTTTTGAAGCGGGACGTTTCATGTGAACGCTCAGTCTGGTTTTGGGCAGCAGCGAGGCCAAAGGGTAGAAATAGGTCACAGAACTTCGATCCACGCTCACTGTGACTGAGCAGCTTCACAGCAACAAACCAGCATCGGTCCTTACTGTACAAACGATAAAACTCTCACCTCGCACCGAAGCCGTCCGTGTGCAGTTGTACAGGATGGCCAGCTCACCGAACGTGGTCCACACCGTGATGGAGGCGAGATGTTTGCTGTGTTGAAACACGTCCAGCTTCCCGTCTGGAGATATGAAAAGAGGGCAATCAATCATTTTATTAAACCCACATTCAGGACACAGGCATTAAAAAAAAAAAGGCGACAGACGCGTGACACAAGAAGAAATCTGGTGACATTTTTATTTCAATTTAGGACAAGAAATGGGAGGAATCTTCAGCTGGAGCGTCTCAAAACTCTTTTCATGATTTGATCAGTTGCTCGACCTGAGCAGAATCTAAACATTAAATCTATTATAGATAATATATATTTATATTTATATGAATGAATTTGGTAAATGTGACTTGTGTCGACATAATAATGTTGATATTGTGTGTAATTTAAACACAAATTTCTGCGTTAGTTGATTTAAAACTACATTCTAGTTGAGGTAACTTAATGAAATTAGCTTCATAACTTAACTTTCCAGGATTTCTAGTTTCCTGGTTAAATATAATTTCATTCGAAGACAAACGATTGCCTTCATTTTCTTTGTTGAGCTCAGACGTGATCTTTTACTGTGTGTTGAACAATATTTCTGGTTTTAGTTTACCTTTTTTTGTCGTTTAGAAGAGTTTTTTGGCTCCAATTTTGGCTTTTAAATATATATAAAAAATGTTTTCCTGATTTTGTATTTTTTAAATGAAAGATTCGTTTGTTTCTTGCATTTTTATTTTATTTTTTTTGCATGATTTAATGCGTTGCTTGATATGAATAGAGCCTGTTAAAGACACCTGTAAACAAGCAGCTGCATATTGTCTCTTATTTAAACCATGGAAACATCAATTTCTAGGATTTTTCTGTGATTTTGATGTTTTAAGTGCCTTTTTTCTGGCAGTAAATTGGGGAGGTATCGCACATATGTATATATTTTTATTGCTTCTTTGTGTATTTTCTTAGGGACAACCACTTTCTTGCACTTTTGATGATTTGATGTGTTGCTCGATATAAATAGAGCCGGTAAAAAAAAAATCCCTGTGATCAAGCAGGTGTATGATAACTGTCATAGAAACACATCTTCAGGTTTGATTTCCAGGTTTTTCTTGCAATTTTAGAGTTTTAACAGCCTTTTTCCAACATTCAATCTGGGAGATATCACACATAATATATGTATGTATTTTATTTTATGATATTTTCTTCTTGTTAATTTTTGGGGCCCACACATTTTCTTGCACTTTTCATGTTTTGAACAGTTGTTAGAAATAGAAAGAGCCTGTAACCTGTAAACAAGCAGGTCTTTAAGTTTAATTTCCAGGTTTTTCTTGCAATTTCTACATTTGAAGCACCTTTTTGCAACAATAATTCTAGTAAATATCATAAAATTAACATATGTTGTGTATTTTTGGTGCCATCTGTGGTAAATGTATACTACTGGCTTTAAAAAGAATGCATTTAATACATTTCTAAATCCGTTATATGAAACAAAAAACCTCTTGCCACCATCTGTACTCTCTTCCTATTGGTGCTACATAAAATATAACAAGTTTTTTAAAGCTCTTGATCAATCAGTGACCCTAAAATAGAATAAAATAACATTTCCAGCACAAGTTACGACTAAAAAGTTCAAAAACGAGATTGAAATCAGAGGCTCCTGACGTTCCTGTGAGTGTTTAATGTCCTTATTAGTTAATAATCATTAATCATGAGCTGTTTTAGTAACTCGTCATATCCAAACACAAAAGCTGTGCCGGTTTCAGCTTTGGTGGTGAAACATGTCACAGATTCACAGTTAGATCACAATTTGTTTTATCCTTTGACTTCGTTTTACACTCAACAGAATGAGTAATTTGGACTTTTTATGGTCATATTTGGGCATTTCTGCTTCACTCTGCTGCACTGTGTGTCAGACTGATGCATTTGCATGTCCAGGGTGAGAAATGACTGTAACGCCACACAGAACAGAACAAATACTTGCACATTTTGTCTGTGAATGTCAAATATCAGCACCAAGCTCGCTGGCAGACGACCAGCTATTGTTCAGAGGCGATGTGGTCGCTTAAAACACCCGGCTGCTCGGTGACTTTGAGAGAAATGTCAGTGATGTTTGGAGAATATCAGAATATAAACCANTTCTAGCTGCGAGGCAACGGTGCTAACCACAGAGCCACCTTGCAGCCCCCAGTATTTGTCGAAAAACTAAAAAAATGATACGCTCTTTTGTGCATATTTTGCAATAACGTGCACAAAACTTTGCTCTTTTTCTTTTTTTTAATCCTCTGAATCCCACTAACAGTTTGAAAGGCGTCTTCGCTTCCAGTAGCAGCTCTTCACCAGGAGTTGGAACAATTAAAATCTGGAGCTCATTACAAAAGAAGCAACTGCGAAAATCTTAGCTCCGCAAAAATTGTGTTCATTTCTCTACAGTTTAAGTATTAAAGTCCAAATGCAGGAACATATTTCAGTTTTCTGAAATTGTTCTGAAAAGGTAGTTTTTTTTTAACATTAACATCTTGAGCTGCTGAAAGAAAAGGGCGCCATCCTTGAACATATTTTTTTGTTTCTTCCTACATGAGGGCATTTTAGAGTCCTTTTACTGGTGTTGTGTTAAGTTGTGTAAAGCCTAAACCTCTCTGGCTTTGAAGACGTTTGTATTCATCCTGCTGCTCTCTGATGCTGCAGGTTACAGTCAGGTTCATGAATATTTTGACATTATTTCGGCTCTGCACACCACCGCATTGGATTTGAAAATCAAACTGTCCTGATGTGCTTTAAGTGCAGACTCTCAGCTTTAATTTGAGGGTATTTACATCCAAATCTGGTGAACGGTGTAGGAGCTACGACACATTTATATGTGCCCTTGCGTATTTGTGGACCTGACTGTATTTAACAATAATAATAATTGATTAGATTTATATCGTGCTTTTCTAACTCAAGGAGTAACTCAAAGCGCATACAGTGTTAATTATTCATTCAAACACATTCATCCCGGTGGTGGGAGCTACGATTGTAGCCACAGCTGCCCTGGGGCAGACTGACAGAGGCGTGGCTGCCATTCTGCCCCTCCGACCACCACCTCATACAATCCATTCATTCGTATTCACACCAGGCAAGGTGGTGAAGTGTCTTCCCCAAGGACACAAGGACCATGAAACAGGTTAGAGGGCGGAATCGAACCGCCGACCGATCAATGACCGACTCGCTCTTCCACCTGATCCACAGTCGCCCACCATGTAGACTCAGAGTAAATAGTCCTAAACAGCTGGAAGCAACAAACTAAACTTCACCTCCTGTTAACACCTTGAGGTTGTGTGTCGCCTCCGTTAGCTAAAACTGTGTCGTCTGTGATGATTTTGCTTTCACTTTGACTCAGTGCTGGAGGTTTTAGTTCTAGTGGATGAACTTGTAGGTGTTTGATGTTAAACTAAAATTCAACTGGCTCTTTTCTTTTCTTTTTGAAGTTATTTTTTTTGGCCTTTCTTGCCTTTATTTGATAGGACAGTGGAGAAGGGGGACAGGAAAACTGGGGAGAAGAATGGAGGAAGGACCTGCAGCAAAGTGTCACAAGCCGAATTCCAACTCACTACCACTGCTTCAGCCCCTGTATGTGGGATGCCAGCTCAACCAAGTGAGCTATCCCGGGGCCCAGGCTCTTGTCTTTCCTTGCGTCAGTATCTGGCTCTTGTCAGTGATTTCTGCCTCCGCTGTGACCTCATGGCAAACTTTTGAAGCGGGACGTTTCATGTGAACGCTCAGTCTGGTTTTGGGCAGCAGCGAGGCCAAAGGGTAGAAATAGGTCACAGAACTTCGATCCACGCTCACTGTGACTGAGCAGCTTCACAGCAACAAACCAGCATCGGTCCTTACTGTACAAACGATAAAACTCTCACCTCGCACCGAAGCCGTCCGTGTGCAGTTGTACAGGATGGCCAGCTCACCGAACGTGGTCCACACCGTGATGGAGGCGAGATGTTTGCTGTGTTGAAACACGTCCAGCTTCCCGTCTGGAGATATGAAAAGAGGGCAATCAATCATTTTATTAAACCCACATTCAGGACACAGGCATTAAAAAAAAAAAGGCGACAGACGCGTGACACAAGAAGAAATCTGGTGACATTTTTATTTCAATTTAGGACAAGAAATGGGAGGAATCTTCAGCTGGAGCGTCTCAAAACTCTTTTCATGATTTGATCAGTTGCTCGACCTGAGCAGAATCTAAACATTAAATCTATTATAGATAATATATATTTATATTTATATGAATGAATTTGGTAAATGTGACTTGTGTCGACATAATAATGTTGATATTGTGTGTAATTTAAACACAAATTTCTGCGTTAGTTGATTTAAAACTACATTCTAGTCGAGGTAACTTAATGAAATTAGCTTCATAACTTAACTTTCCAGGATTTCTAGTTTCCTGGTTAAATATAATTTCATTCGAAGACAAACGATTGCCTTCATTTTCTTTGTTGAGCTCAGACGTGATCTTTTACTGTGTGTTGAACAATATTTCTGGTTTTAGTTTACCTTTTTTTGTCGTTTAGAAGAGTTTTTTGGCTCCAATTTTGGCTTTTAAATATATATAAAAAATGTTTTCCTGATTTTGTATTTTTTAAATGAAAGATTCGTTTGTTTCTTGCATTTTTATTTTATTTTTTTTGCATGATTTAATGCGTTGCTTGATATGAATAGAGCCTGTTAAAGACACCTGTAAACAAGCAGCTGCATATTGTCTCTTATTTAAACCATGGAAACATCAATTTCTAGGATTTTTCTGTGATTTTGATGTTTTAAGTGCCTTTTTTCTGGCAGTAAATTGGGGAGGTATCGCACATATGTATATATTTTTATTGCTTCTTTGTGTATTTTCTTAGGGACAACCACTTTCTTGCACTTTTGATGATTTGATGTGTTGCTCGATATAAATAGAGCCGGTAAAAAAAAAATCCCTGTGATCAAGCAGGTGTATGATAACTGTCATAGAAACACATCTTCAGGTTTNAGTCCAAAATTAACTTCTCTCTTTGCTATACCTGCCAAGAATAGCAATAAAATTAAATAAAATAAAATTAAATTAAATTAAATTAAATTAAATGGAATAAAATTAAATTAAATACAATAAAATAATAAATGAATGTATTGTTGTTTATAACAACAACAACAACAACAATAATAATAATAATGACAATCAGTGTCAGGCAGTGGAGCCAATCAAAATCTTCCTTCTTGCAGCGCTGTTTTCCTGTGATTTGATTGGCTTGTGGTCACAGCGGCCGTGCAGCAGCCAATGAGAGCTCACACAGACTAAAACGCTCTAAAAGCAGCGGAGCACAGCGGGGGATTGTAATTCTTCTGCCAGTCGGAGACTTTGAGGCCCAGTTTGAGAACCAAACAACAAAACTATAATTTTCCTTACCAAAACAACAAATCTGCTCTCCAGCTGTCCTTTCTCAGCCGTGGCAGCGTCTAAAAATAAACGGTGTGACTAAAAACACTCCTCACTCCAAACAGCAGAAGAAAAACAAACTGACTTTGCAGCGCAGAGTATAAATGTGCACTGATTTCATGGTCATACACTGAACTAACATGTCGCTCTCACTAGCTTTCTCACTGAACAGACAACTTAAATAAAACAGTTTACAAACCAAAGCTTGACTAATGTTTTTAAGGGCCAGAATCACGACCTTCACATTGTGTATTTCTGCACATTTGACCAACTAATGAGTGGACAGAACAGAAGCAGATTCCTCTGCACTGGAAACCAGACAGTGTCAACACACGAGTCGTATCAGGATCAAAGTACAAGATTTTCAGGCCAATTTACCCCAATTTCAACCCCAGATCCAGTTTACAACTTCCTGAACTGCTCTCAGACAAAAACAGTTGGACTTTTACAAGTTAAAATCAGCTGCTAATCCTGCTAGCCCCTGAGGCTAACGTTAGCTGCAGATATGAACTCTCACCTCCGTTGACCTCATCGTCCCAATCTGTTATCAAAACGAGGGCTAAATGATTCATACATATCTAACTGTGAATTCTCTGACATATGTTGCAGATTTGATTTGTGACACTGAAGTTGAGCTTCACTTCACTATTGACAGATTTAAAACGCGACGGAGCACCAAAAATCTAACAGTCACACAAGGAGAAGGGCATCAAATTGTAGAACTCAGGCTCAGATCAGCTGTGAAATGCAAACATGCTGCTGTAAAATAATGATAATGTGATATTTCTGATTCACGAAGATAGATAATAATGTTAAATGACCACAACGTGCAGCCGGGACCACACGTATTGATCAATGTGCAACATAAACGACTTCCTATCGTGTTCTATCCATTGTTTATGCAACATTTAGATTATCTGCTTTATATTGTATCTATACATCCATAAATTCAACTTGTAGTGTGTTTATGCCATCTGTTCCTACTGTTTGTACGCTAACATACTGTAAATAAAGCACTTTCCTGCTGCTGTTGCACTTCTGGTGACATGCTAAACTGCTGTGTCGACTTAATGCTGCATCAACTTCATATTGTGCAGAATTTAAACTTAAATTTCTGCGTTAAGTGATTTAAAACTAAATTCAAGTTGAGCTAACTTAATGAAATCAGCTTCATAACGGACAAACTATCAGCTTCATTTCTTTTGTTGAGCCCAAACATGATCTTTTATAGCATATTGAACAACATTTTTGGTTTTTATTTCACAGTGTTTGTTTTTTTTTTTTTTTTACTTTTAAATGTAAAAAAAAATAAAAAATGCTGTTTTGATTTTGTAGTTTTGATAACGAAAGAATTGTTTGTTTTCTTTGGGTCATCCCTTTTTTTGTGCTTGCTAAACTACATTTCTTCGTCTGTGCAATAATGACAAAGTTGAATCTAATTTAATTTAAATTAAACTGAATCACATTATTTTAATTTTTTAATACTCTTACTTCATAAATCCTGAATTGCAGCCTTTAAGATTTGCAAACTGTATTTCTTGGTACTCAATGACAATAAAGTTGAATCTAATTTAAATTAAGCTGAATCACAGCTTTAGTCTCAGTATTTAATCGTGTCACCTCATCAATCCTAAATTGCAGCCTTTAAGATTTGCAACTTTTAAAACTGCAAATTTAAAATTGATCCGTCGTTTCATGCTTTTGTTTTTCCTTCCTGCAACATCTTATTAACATTACAGCAAGGTGGTGCTTCACAGTCTCCATTCTGTTATTGTCTGTTTCCCCGTGAGAGTTTTGTTAAACATCCTGTAGTTTATGATGCACCGTTAGTTTCCAATCCTGCAGTTGTGCAAGTTTCTCCTCATGCGGGTGACACAGCCTGATTTCAAACTTTAAGCCGACTTCACGTGTTTTCTACGTGATTATGTGAAAACTAAAGAAAAACTGTGCAAAGACAAACCAGATATGATTACAAATGAGACTAATGTTGTGGGGAAAAGCTGCTGAATGTGCAGGATTTTTTTCCGGCTGACGGATTCTGCAGGTTTTCGGCTCAAACTCGACTCCACCTCCTGATTAACAGTTAACCAGTGGAGTGAAATCACCTGCGGGCCGTCGGAACGCCGCCGCACCTGCTTCTCATTGGACGTTACGAGTCACGTGACGCTAAACTCGAGCCTCCAGAATGACTGTCAGCGACCTGATTAGGGGAACACATTGATTTCCAGCCGCCTGGGAAGATGCAGATGAGGCAGGAGAGGAAACGTACCTGCCAGGACGAACAGATGGTTGCCAGGCTCCCCCTGCTTGATGACGTACTCGCCCTGCTGGTACGTGCGCTCGTACATGCACTCCACCATGTCTTTGATCTGCTGCAGCTCCAGCCTCTTCAGGTACTGGTTCTTGTTCAGGGCGTCTGTCAGCAGCTTCTTCACACTGTCACACAGCAGCAGCAGCACGGCTTGTTAGAAACTTTTACTGCACTGATCAGAATGCAAAGTGTGTCCACTGAAGGGTTTGAAGGTTGGGATCAATGACAGGAAGAATTACACTTTAGACGCTTTAGCAGAAAGAAAGTTCAGCAGAGAAACAAAACTTTTGCACGTTGAGGAGAGAAAATTGTTGAACCGACTTAATTACTGAAGTAAGTTCATCCAGGTGAAGCGAACAAGTCGTATTAATAAAACTGGTTTAAGTTGGATGAACTGAGCGTTGCTGCAACTTCATTTTAAAGAAAGTCAACTTGAAGTTTCCATTTTTTTTTCCAACCAAAGTGTTCACTTAAAAATAAATAGATAAATACAAAAAAATCCTGTTAAAAAAAAGATTGTGAAAAGGTGCCACAAACCTTATGAAGAAAGAAAAAAACAGAGAAAATAGCAGCTAATGTTGGTAAAATAATACTTTCAGTGGATTTAAATGCAGTTGGATTTTATGATCACGCATTGCATAAATGACATGTAGTAGAAAAATAATATTAGAACATTAATTTTTGTCTGTTTTTCTTGCATGTAAATCTAAATACAGTAAGAAACTGAGATTTTACACTCAAATGCTGCCAAAGAATTAAATACTATTTGTAAAAATACAGATTAGTGAAGAGTGTCATTGTTTACAGCTAAGATGTGAATTAAAATCTTTTTCTTTGATTTCTATTATCTGCGATTTAACAAAACAGGAACAATCTGTAAATAAAATAATAGTAATATTAACAAAAGTATTTACCATTTTTCAACATCATTTACCTTTCAAATAAATATACGTAAAATAAAAAATATATTTAGCTGATTTAAATACAATAAAAATAGTTGCTGCAAAAGAGCAAAAAATGCTTGATTTTTATTTATTTATTTTTTCAGTTTACATTTAAATTAACACTTTTTCTGACATAAAATAACAGTTAAAAATAATTTACCGCTTTTGAATATCTGCTAAATGACAATATTTTTTAAGATAATTTAAAAACAGTGAAAATTACAGACTTTTAAAGTGGAAGTTATTCATAGTTTTGTCCCGTTTTTTAACAGTTAATGTGTAAACTAATACTTTTTTCGATTTTACTATAAGTTATCTGTAATTTAATAAAGCAGGAAAAATCTGGAAAATAACTGCAAATTAAAAAAAATAGAAAACTTAAAGAAAAAAACATCTGTAATTGTAAAATCAAATGTTACAATAGAATTTATTATTTATAAAAATACAAATTTTTGATGTAGACATTTTTTACACTGTGGGATTTTATTATTTAATTGTTGACATGTAAATAATACGTTTTTCCATTTGTTTAATTTAACAAAAAAATTTAATTTAATTTAAGGAAAAAATCAGTAAAATAACTGTAAATTGTAAAAAAAAAAAAAAAAAAGGTAAAACTGTCAAAATGTTTGTTTTTCACTGTGTGTAGCATAATAAACATATAGTATTTTTTAATTATTTGTATTTTTATTTTTCATCTATACTACAAGACATTTAAGTGCTTCTCCACTCCCACATCCACATGACTCGCCACATTTTTCAGCTGCATAATAAATATTTTACCTCCTTTGTGGCCTCGAGGCTCCTTTTTTTTAAAAAAATGTTTTTTATTCGACAGTCAATCAAGCAAAGCGGTGCAAAAAACATAATGGCGAGCTGTCCGAGTTCACAGATGTGCATCTAGCAGCACACATCCTCGTCGTTCACAGAAAGTCAGTCGGGTTTCAAAGGGCCGGTTTGTGCTTCATTTACATGAGTGTGAGTTACATAATCCGTGTCGAGCTTATTAGCAACACGTGTTTTAAACATGAGGCCTGCCTTCGACGACAAAACCGTCCGTTTTTGCTTTCATGTCGGAGAATCTAACGAGACTCGACGCACTCGTTAAAACGCGGAGCTGTTTGTGGAAGCCACACATTTTACATCTTTGATCATAAAATCCCTCCAAACAGACGTAAAACTTTCTCTCATTTTCTAAAACAATAAGTTCTGTTGTGTTTGCTCATCTTCAGGACGTTAAAGCTGCCAAAACTGGAGCCGAGGAGGCGTCGGGCAGCCTGCGAGAGTGCTGAAGGTCAATTTAAATAATGATAATAATGTATTTGCATCAAGTTTTAATGGGCTGCTGCTAATTCAAAAAGAAGAGTTTTGTCTCAGATTTCCAAACCAGTGAAAAACACTTAGAGGAATAGAAGCGGTCGTATATTGTATTGAAGCCCTTCTGAGGGAAACCTGTGAGGATGCTGAGGACGTTTCTTCCTCAGAAGCAGCTTTCCAGTTACCTAGATGCACTCGGGTCTCTGAAAATACAGTAAACGACCAAACAGAGCACATTTAATGCCACCCGAAGGCTCCAAAAAGCAAACAGTCGAAGCCCTTTGAGCTTCGTTTTGTCACGCGCTGCATGTTTGTGAACGCTTTCTTTTGCTTAAATGCAGAGCTGAGTTCAACAAATGAAATGGGAGGAAAGTTTAAAAGCAACAGTTTGACATTAAACAGACACCAGCTCTGTCTGCTACATTAGCTTAGCATTGCTAAAAGACTGGAAATGCATTAGACCTGCTAGCACTGCTAAAGCTAATTAATTAGTTTACTCATTAAGTAGTTAATTCTTGTGTGTTTGAGGGAATGTAATGCATTGCTGTCTTGATGCTAAGCTACCTCGCGTCACTCTGGAGCCGTGGTGGTGCAGTCTGTGTAATAAGTTGCAATTCTTGGTTCAAAATTAATCAAATAAGTTTTCTGATCCATTTTTTTTCATTTACTTCACAAATAAATCAGAAATGATTAACTTTTAGTTTAGTTTTTAATTGTAAAGGTTGTTGCTTTAAAATTAGATTTTTGAACACAAAGTATTAGAAGAGTACTGGACTGTACCATTAGCACACGGGGGAGTCCACAGACCAAACACAGACCCAG